AAAGAGAGGTTGAGTGGCCTTCCACCAACCGCATTACAGCGACACTTAAACTTTCTTTCTTCCTTTGTGTGTGCGAGTGATGATCATGCATCATTGTCAGAGCAGCAACTTCAATTCGAGGGTCAAAGGAAAAAAAAGTTATTTAATCAGGTTGTATCCTAACTAATACTCCCACCATACACATAGGTGCATAGTCTACAAATAAGCTCCACTTCCTCCAGCTACCTACTTGCTCTAAACATCTGCCAGGACCAAGGAAGAAGATCCATCTCTCTGCTCCTCAGCTGATCGATTCAAGGTACTTGCTTAATTTCAGCTCCAGCAGAATACTAACTTTATCATGCATCTCTATGTTTTTCCTCGAATCGACTCCTTTTTTTCCTTCATAGTGATTACTAGTCTACCATTACACATGTCGGGCTAGCATAGTTGATGCTAGTGCTTTTTCTGTACTTCCACATGGGCATCCCTTAAGCACCACGTAATTAGAGAATCATCTCAACTAATTACTTGTTGTTTACGGGTGATTCACTGGTTAACGAATCGATCTGCAGCATCACCCGTAAGTATTGGTGTTAACTAATTACTTGCTGTTTCTAACTGAACAAAGAACCGATTATGCCACGCACCACTTGAGCAACTAGCTAGCAAGTGTAACAATACATGGGTTGTCACACGTTTCTCTTTTGTGGAACAATACATGCATGGGTTGACTGCCGCATCCTGTTGGATCGCTTGTAGTGTATCTATCTGACTACTTTTCAAAGTATCTACTATTTGTTCAGAGAAGAAAAACGAGTTATTTTTGGTACAAAGCCTCGTGTCCTCTGCCATTTCCACATTTTTCGATGAAGGCTGTCTTTATTTGACTCATAACATAGCATCAAGGAATACAATTATAATGAACATACACCCAGCCTCTATATAACTAGAATGTACACACACAAATTGATCACGCCGGCAAAAAGCAAAGTCATACAGGACCAAAACTATGCCTAGACGGAGAGAAAAATAAAATGAAACAACAATTGTCGAAATATAGCAGTGGCCATCAGCGCCAACCATCTCTTGACAACACAAAAACTACGACAAGGGTTCTCCAAAAACGATGCCTCCATGAAGGGAACGACGTAAATGCGTCACCATCTCCGGATCTAACCACCAAAGGTCGGATCATGGTTTCCACCTTGAAGATCAAATCCGAGCAATGCCATCATCAGAGTAACGACGCAAAGAACACCTCCATTGCCAGGTCTAACCAACTAGGGTCAAACCAGAGTTTTTACCTCGGAGCTCAAGACTGAGTACTCGAGAAATACCGCCCAATCGAAGTCAAATAGTGTTGTCTCCTCCACTTGTCTCGGTCCCAATAGTTGCATACGTGCACTGTCCTTACGACGAGCAATGACCACGCCCATACAGGTAGGCTGACGAGACTCGAGAAGAGCTACTCGCTACCACGCCCATCGATTTTAGTTTGGGACACTCTGGAAGCCTGCACCATCCTCACAACTGGCAGCCAAGGCTGATCTGCATGAGACGACAGCACCACTCACAACCACTATCTTGTCGTCCTCACCTATGGACGTAGATCATACAGATTTAATCCTCTAAGGTGGCCACCGTGGCCGATGACCGCCCAGCAGCATGTTGGCCAGATTCATGGCGCCACCTGACCTAGCGCCCGAGCCCAAGCACAAGACCACCATGACCATGCCTCCCCTCCCTTCAGGAGATACGGGCGACGACAGCAACAACTGCTCTCGAGCCGCCGCCTCAACCTGCCACGCCGCGACGCCAAAGAGCCACTCCAGGAGCATCGGCATGTCATGAGCATGCTGCACACTCTCAGGATGGATCTCCACTTCCCAATCATGCAGCGGAGCTTCTCTGGATGGAGAAGCCACAGGAGGTGGCCGTTCAGACCAGTGCGAGCAGATCTCCACTCTTCCACAGGAAAAAAAGGAATGGATATGGTGCTCTGCGGGGAATTAACGGCACCGTGAGGCTCCCTCCATTGGTGAACATGCCATCAATGAATGGCCATAACTTGCATCTTTGATGCCCATCTGGCCACCCAACAGCCATGCAAACGTCACATTGAACCCTACATGTACTGCTGCCGCCGCCGCTTCAACTTCCGCCTTCACCGCATCCAAGCCGCCGCTGCACCTCGTCAAGTGTTGCCTAAATTGCCACAGGGTTGGAGCCCCACCGCCGCCGTCAGCCGCGCCGGCGAGGGAAGGAGGCACGGGGAACTGCCGAGGAAAACGGATCGAGTCGCAGCCCGAGTCGCCCAGGCGGACGACGCGGGGGCACTTTTTTTCCGAGAGCTTACATTACCAGAACAGTTCTCTGCCATTTCCACATGGAGTTCAGCCACTAGCAAAGATCTAGAGCTCCGATCTCTCCAATTGATACAAGGTAATTAATTCAAGTTGGCTCGTTCTTTAGCTTCCAGCGGTGAACACCGCCAAGGACCCCCAGATGGGTGCGCCGGTCCTCGCATTCAGGCGACAGACAGTTGCAACTGCTCCCTGATCTGTATCTGGATAGCTAGCTGTAGTAGTACGACTGACAGCTAAAAATATCTATCTCTTATTTTCTTTGGAGCACGTACAATGGTATTGCAAATCAAGCCAAAAACATGGTAGAAAAAAGTGAGTAAACTATGAATATCAGCTGCGCAACTTCCATCGTTCATGGTGTATGGCCAATACACGTCACACTATAGAAGCTTACCTTCTTATAACCTTTGATGTATAGATCTGTGCAGATATCACCAATTGCAGTTGCAATAGATGGTCTATCCAGCAGCAATGTGTATAAAACTTCTGATAAACAATGGTCTATCCAGCATCAAAATATGACTCGATTGACAATCAGAAGATAATAAGACAGAAAAAAGAAAAATCAAGGGTGATTACACCAAATGCAAACCAAGAAAGAACATTATTTGCTCACTAGTTATCACATGTCGCATTGTACCAGCCATAGTGAAAAAAATAAGAGAGAGCATTGGTTTGAGAGGAAAAAATGTTATTTTTTGTAAACTGATTGAGACAGAATCATGCAAATATAGTTGATTGTAGTAGGCACTTGTGACGACTTGACTACCAGGGGGATTGAGATCACACCTGGAGGGATGAGACTTGGAGAGAAAGAAGGTGAGAAAACAGACAACAGGTGAGATTCAGATACTTACTCATTCATGTCAACTCCTCTGTTTAGTTCAGGTTAAATACCCACATGCTTCCAGGCTCGCCATAGGCCACACACACTCACACGCACAGCATCACATGGCCTCAGGTCCAACTGTTGTCCACTTGCATCACACAAGACCTATAGGTGTGAGAGCACTCCTCTCTGTAAAGGACAACAATGGCACTTGAGCACTCTGTATAGGATGATGAACGGAGTCGAAAGTCCAAGAACATTCAGTAATAACTTGCAGGATTAAATTTAACACTACCATCTCTATTAGTATAACTTATATGGACTAATGATTCTAAAATTACAATCTGATGACCCCATAAAATCTTCTTCATGGAGAATGATTCTAAAATTACAATCGGATGAATTGTTTTAATCTGACATCCAAAAGTCACTTGACTTCATAAGAGAAATATACACACTAAAGGAATTCCACATATAAAGCTACTATATGTTATCTAAATCCAAAAAACTAACTATAAAGAAGATAAATGCAGATGTTTTCGATTACTAACCTCAAGCAGATCAAGATCATTAGTGCAGCGCACAGCCGCTGTCGTACGTGTGAAGGTTAGCGTCAGAGGAGATGAGGGAGCGGGTGGAGAAGACGCCGATGAGGATTGGGTGTGGACGTTGGTGGTGAGGCTGCCGCAGCAATAAAGGGAGGAGACATGAAGGGCGTTGGGTTGGGGACACGGACGCAAACCGGCGGCGTACCTGGCGGGATGGACTGATGGTGATAGTAGGCCAAGTGACTACGGCAGCAGAGTAGGAGGCATGAGAGGCGTCGGCGGACGGCGACAACGGCGTGCTTGCCAAGGTCGGCCTTGGAGCGGACGGGCAGTGGGGGAGGATACGGCCGGAAGGAGGTGGTTGTGGGCGGTGGGATGAGACGAGCATTTGGATGACCCGTCATACATACGAAAGTAGATACGACTTGTCAAAGATTCATATTACCCTTTATACGTTTTGCCAGGGGGGTTTTATTTTGTGTGTCTACTTGTATTCGAAGCCGTATACATTCGGATGATCCGTCATACATACGAAAGTAGATATGACTTGTCAAAGATTCATATTACCCTTTATACGTATTGGCAGGGGGTTGTACCGAAGCGGGACTCCCATTAGAATTGTGGGCGTTTGTTTAAGATAATATTACATCGGTTTTATTTTGTTTGTCTACTTGTATTCGAAGCCACAGTTTTACTTCAGACTTATAGTTATTCTCTGATGAGTGAATCTGGAATCCGTCGTTTGTAGCATACAATTGTTGGAAATGTGTAAATGGTGCTGCTTCGTAATACAGAGGACTCATTTTAACTGCATCTTTCTCTTCAGTAGCAGCTAAAAGCGTGAGCAAACCCTGCAACTACTTCCGAGAGAGCAAGGGAAATCTATCTAGTTTTTGCGCTGGACTAACGGTGATCCCATGATCCATCTCTGATCTGAATCTGATCCAGCCGATTCAAGGTACTTAGCTGATAGCTATATTTCTCTCTCTGATACCATTGATCTTGTGCATTTCCGTTTGAATTGTTGGTGTTTGAGTTCAAGGTAAATACTACATTATTTTTATTTCAAGCCAAATTAGAGTGCACTATCTTCTAGTTTGCAAGCCACATTTTCCCTTTAGATTTGTTACTAGTCTCTAGTGACTGAATGTGATTATCCTTCCTGTTAGCATGAGTTTTTTTATGTGAAAAAACGAGGTAGTAATACATAGGACTAATTTCTATTTGCATGCTTCTTTTTAGTGCCAGCTCAAGCGTGTGCGCACCCTGCAACAAATGGCGGGGGTTCTGGATACTTTGGCATCCTACGTGACCAGCATGCTTGTTGAAATGGCCAAAGAGGAGGTGGCCATGCTCATCGGCGTATCCGACGGGATCACAGACCTAAGCATCAAGCTTGGGGACCTCAAGAATTTCGTTGCTGATGCTGATAGGAGGAACATCACCGATGAGAGTGTGCGGGGGTGGGTGGGCGAACTGAAGCGTGCCATGTACCTAGCCACCGACATTGTCGACCTATGTCAACTCAAGGCCATGGAGCTAGGTCAAACAAAGGACAGGGGGTGCCTTAACCCTCTGCTCTTTTGCATGCGGAATCCCCTCCATGCTCATGACATTGGCACCCGCATAAAGATACTCAACCAAAATTTGGATGATATTTGCAAGAGGGGCAAGAGTTTGAAATTCATCAAGCTAGAAGCCTACGAAGACCAAAATACAACTCGATCTCTCGCCACTAACCGCAAAACTGATTCGTTGATCGAGCGGTCAGGTGCAGTTGGTGAGAAGATCGAGGAGGACATGAGGGCACTTGCGGAGGTACTTACAAGGGAGGCTGCTAGCAATAAGAGTGATTGCTTCATGGTGGTCGCCATTGTTGGTGTCGGCAGGATTGGGAAGACCACCCTCAGCAAGAAGGTCTTCAATGATGATAGTATCAAAGGCAAGTTCACTAAGAAGATATGGCTTAGCATCACCAAAGATTTCAATGATGTTGAGCTATTGAATAAGGCTATCATCGCCGTTGGTGGAGACCTACCTGCAGCTGGAGGAGCTCGAGACAGAGACCTACTTGTCGGTGCTCTCAGTAATGCCATCATGGACAAGAAGTTCTTTCTTGTACTAGATGACATGTGGGGTGTCGATGCATGGGACAAATTATTGATGGCCCCTTTTAGCTACGGTGGTCCCAGTAGCAAAGTGCTTGTCACCACAAGACATGACACGGTTGCCCTAAGCATGAAAGCTGTGCACTATCACCATGTTGACAAACTAAGTGCAAAAGATGCATGGTTATTGCTCAAGAAGCAGGTCAGCATACATACTTACTAGCAGTCACCTCTTACTACACTTAATATTTAATAATCTAGCAGTAGTCTACTTCCATGCAGATTAACTTGCTTTCTGTCCTAAATCCACTTCCATTATTTGTTCAGCACTGTTTGATAAATACTACAACATGTACTAGTGCTAATTTGTTGTGAATAGGCAGTACACAAGCTGATGCTTGTGACCAGTGGGCTTGGTGTGTTCAACACATTAAACTTCATGCACTTTCGATGCTTCCTTCAATCTACTGTTAGATTTATTCACTCATATGTGTAGCAGTCGACCATGCACATGTGATACATTATGTGAAGTTAACAACTTATTTGAATAACTATATTGAAATATACCTTTAATATTACAACATAAATATGCAGCTATAGACGAATATATCACTTTTTCTTGGCACTTCAAATTAGGTATTATAATGACCACCTTTTTGTTAGTATATCTCAACGATCTAGCAACTGCATGAAAAAAACAGTGCCACTAGACACTGCTAATGCAGTGTGTGTCTGTTATTAACTATATATTTCTTTTTTTGCAAAAATTAACTATATATTTCAACTCCTTGCAGGTAGTCACAACAGAAAAAGATGAACCCGAGATTGAGATTCTAAAGGATATTGGCTTGCAGATTATAGAAAAGTGTGATGGTCTACCACTTGCTGTAAAGGTGATGGGAGGGCTATTATGCCAGAGGAAGAAAAATCAACGTGCTTGGCAAAAGGTTCTAAACGATGATTTATGGTCAGTATCTCATATGTCAGAAGAGCTAAATTATGCAATATGTCTTAGCTATGAGGACTTACCCTCTTGTTTGAGGCAATGCTTTCTGCACTTCTCCCACATACCTATAGTTTTACAATCAGATGTGATTGTCGGCATGTGGATCAGTGAAGGGTTTGTACACGGAAACCCAGATGTATTAGAAGAATTGGGACATCAGTACTATAGGCAACTGATACTAAGGAACCTTATAGAGCCAACTCCAAATGATATTGATCAACATTTCTGCAACATGCATGATGTTGTTCGCTCATTTGCTCAATTTGTAGCTAGAGATGATGCACTGATAGTTCATAAAGGAGAAAATATTAACATCAAACTTAGTTTGCAAGGGTTTCTTAGGTTGTGTATAGAAACCAAAGGAATGGAATCAGATCAATGTGAGTGGAGAAGTTTACAAGAGCATAAATCACATAGATCATTAATGTTAATTGGGAATTTGAAGATTCAGTCGGGTGATTCATTCGAAACATTTTCAAGCCTACGGATGCTACATATAGAATCCACCAATTTTGATGTCCTGGTTGAATCTCTGTATCAGCTCAAACACCTGAGGTATCTTGCATTAATAAAGTGTAATGACTTGGATAGGCTGCCCGAGAACATCCATAAGATGAAATTCCTACAACACATTAGTCTTGAAAATTGTGAGAGTGTTGTGAAACTTCCTGATAGCATTGTGAGGTTATATGAACTGAGACATATTGATCTTGATGGCACACGTGTAAATAGTATACCCAGGGGGTTCCGTGCTCTCACGAATTTGAGGACACTATATGGGTTCACAGCCCATGTGGATGGTGATTGGTGTAGTCTTGAAGAGCTTGGGCCTCTTTTCAACCTTAGGACTATTGGATTAGTGAATCTACAGAATGTTTCAGATGCCTCATTTGCCACAAAGGTTAGGCTTGGTGAAAAGGTCAATCTTATCAGTCTGACCCTCGACTGCAGAAGTCGACATGGCAGCAATGAATTGATCAAAGATGGAGTGTGTGAGAAGGACCAAGGAATGATTGAGAAGGTGTTCGATGGCCTCTATCCCCCGCCTTGCATAGAAGATATTCGTATCTACAACTATTTTGGGCGTCAACTCCCAAGTTGGATGATGTCAGCAACAGTAATGCAGAAGATGCCCCTCAATAGCTTAAAGGTTGTAATAATGTCTGATCTGGCTTATTGTGCCCAACTCCCAGATGGCTTGTGTATGCTCCCATGTTTAGAGTACCTATCAGTAAATGAAGCTCCAGCGATCAAGCATGTTGGGTCTGAATTCGTGCAGCCACATATTCACTCCCACCGTACTTCATCTCAGGTTGCAGCCACGTTTCCAAGACTACAGAAAATGCACCGTCCTTCATATCAGTTGGCTGCTACATTTCCCAAACTCCAGAAGTTGCATTTTCACGGAATGGAGGAATGGGAGGAGTGGATTTGGGAGACGGAAGTGAAAGCTATGCCGTTATTGGAGGACCTTCGTATCACTTCTTGCAAACTGGGTCGTATGCCTCCAGGACTTATGTCCCACGCAATGGATTTGAAGAAGCTAGAAATATGGAGCGTCCAAGGTCTCCACTCTCTAGAGAACTTTGTTTCTGTAGTTGAGCTCAACCTGTATGACATACCTCAATTGGTCAACATCTCCAATCTTCCAAAATTACAAAAGCTTACAATCAACTACTGCGCAGAGGTCGAGACAGTGCAGGAGATGGCTGCACTACGGAGACTCGAGCTGAGCATTTTCGACTACCAAAGTCAACTTCCGGTCTACCTGCGGACTGTCAAGCCTAGTCATTTGCTGCTGACCTGCAGCCTTGATGTACTCACTTCCATGGCTGAGGGTGAATCTAGCTCCGAGTGGGACAAGTTCAGGCATATCAAGCAAGTCGAGGCTTATGCAGAAGATGGAGGAGATGAGAAGAAATGGCACGTGCTCTACACATCTGAGTCCTGCAACATACAGACAAATATTCATCAGGTAATACTTTGGTCTCTCTCTAGCTAATAATAATATTCTTCCTTATTGTTGTCTGTTCCATGCATATCTATTTTCATCGGTATGATATAGGATAGCTGAATATATCTCCCACTGTTTTGTTTTGCTTGCCAGGATTGATCGGTATGATATTAAGGTTTGTTCAGGGGCTCTGTCTATATATGTTGTGGATGGAAGCAACTAACTTGTGTTTCAAATTTTGACTCCGGAACACTATATACTGTAAGAAGAAACCCAATCAAAATGTAATCAGTGCGTACTATGTAGCAATGTACTAGTGTTGTACTTTTGATACGATTAATTATTCAGTCCCCCCATTCTTATGAGCAACTCCCAAGTCTTGCTCGACCCTTTGTATGTTGCCGGCTATTCAAGAAAAGATAAGGCACAATCATTTTTTTGGCAGGTTCATACTAAGGCACACAGGTTCGAAAACTATCACGAAACGAAAATAAAAACCAGATCCCTGTAGCATATTGGATCAGGACATGAAACTGTAATTGCAAGCATCGATGTATGTACCTGCGCGTCTTTTTTTTATGAATGTGTGTACCTACGCATCGATGCGGACGACACCGATGCCATAGTAAGGAACCTGGCAAGCTAGCTCCAACTAGTTTACCGATTCCTTTTGATCAATTAGTACTCCGCGCACGCACACAACGGCCAGCTGGCCGGAACACACGAACGCACGCGAGACGCCGGCGTATTGCCACAGGTACGTATCGTACCTGTTGTTCCTTGCTTTATTGATTTCCACAACTCACGGTGCATCTTGGCGTAAAGTAATTCGTCGAGTTCATCAACGAGCTTCGGTTGTCATCGTCATTCGTTGTCGGTCGTATCGCCGTCCCCGGAAGTACTCGGCGTTGGGACTGGGCCAACAATTGGTATCTAGAGCAAGGTTGATCTTCTAGTAAGAGGACATCATGTCGAACGACAAGAAGGGCAAGACCAAGCAGCTAGCGGAGTCCTCCGGCGCGGCTAAAGTAATTGCTGCTCTGGTGAGATCGGAGTATCCACGATTCGACCGTGGGAACTTCGTAGTGTGGGTGACCATGATGAAGTGTGCGCTCGAGGCCAATGAGTTTTGGGAAGCCGTCGACCCCGGCGGTGACGAGTACCTGAAGGGTGGTGCCTTGTATCGGAAGGATCGCCAGGCTATCACGGCCATCTGCTCAGTGATGCCGGTGGACGTGCAGCATCATCTAATCTCAGAGAAATCAGCGAAGGAAGCATGGGACACGCTCAAGACGTTGCATCTAGGGCACTCGCGTGTACGCGAGGCGAACTTGCAAACTTTGCTGAAAAGTTACAAGAATCTAAGGATGGGAGAAGATAAGACGGTGGACGCCTTCGCGGCGAGGGTTGCTTCGATGGTAAACGGGATTCGCGGTCTCGGAGAGAAGTTGGAGGACATCTCCGTGGTCTGTCGTTTTCTACGTGCTGCTCCATCACGCTACATGTCGATTGTGTCAGCAATCGAGCAGTGTGTTGATCTCAAGACTCTCACTTTGGATGATCTGGTTGGTCGCTTCAAGGCCCATGACGAGCGGATGAAGCTGAGTTACGGTGATGCAAAACAGGGTGAGTACCTGATCTAACGCGTGCTCAGTGGCAGGCAATGGTTTCCAAAGAGAACAATTTCGACAAGGCGTCCGGTAGCGGCGGAAAGTACCATCCCGCAAAGGACAACGACGAACAGTCGGAGAAGCCAAGGAAGAAAAGTTTCGACAAGAGGAAGATCCGCTGCCACAACTGTAATCTGCTCGGGCACTTCAAGTCGGAGTGTAAGAAATTCCCCAAATGAGAAGGCGCTCATGGCCCAGCAAGGTGATGATGGTGACATGATGTTGATGTGTGAACTCGTGGACGAGAAGGATCCAGTTCTTGAAGCATCGGCTAAAGAAGTTGCCACGCTCAGTGAAGAAAAAGTTCGCTCTCAGGATTATGGTTCGGAAACTCGTGTCGAAGCTACAGATGCGGGAGGTGATTCCAAAATTTATGTCGATGTTATAGGCATAAGTGCTAACTTCGCAGGAGCGGATGCAACAATTGCCGCTTGCGCTCGACCATCGAAAAATAGACTTTGTACTGTTCAGGGGTCAGTGGACGGCCGAAAGACAGCACTGGATGTGATGTTCTGCTGAGTAGGCCGAATGTACTGGCCGCTGGCACCAAAGTTGGATCCCTTGCTTGGAGTGAGGGAGCCTCGCACCCAGCAGAAAGTGCTGCAGCAAAGAGCAGCCGCGGCACACTAGGTTGTGCTCCGTCCAGCAAAAAGTAATTCCCGGATGTAAATAAGTTGGCCTTTCTTTCTGAATTCGCAAAAGTTGCAGCACCATATATCTAATCACCCCTCTTTTTTTTTTAGTTTATATTGGCTTGAGTCAACACAAACTTGTATCTAGTTCGGTCTCTGGAAGGTTTATTCTCAAGCTTGATCTATTAATAATTGACATCACTTCATTGAATGTAGATAAGATTGCTGCTGCATGCCACGGAAAGGAATATAGGTTCTGAAACTGGAACAGAGCGAAAACAGGGCAGTGCACACAAGTGGCCCGGTAAAGACGGAGAATGCAATGTGGACCACGTGATCGATAAAGACGGAGAATACCATGTGGACCCTGAGTTCATATATAATTAGGGGATTATATTGTAAGAGATTTTATATTGTATATATGTAGCCAGTAGCGCCGGATAGATATACGAAAACTTGTTGTTCGACCAATCTCTCGGAGAAGGAGAAGTCGATATTACTTCTCTCTGTATGCATATGTTCATGACGATCTTCTGTTTCCTTCATTTGCTTACTAGCTAGCGGGTCGAGTCTTCTCTATACATATAGTACGTAGCGTCGACCAAGCGGGGAGATAAGAGAGAACACTTCTCTCTATTAATTAGCTAGCTAACACAATATATGAAACACCTAAAT